GTTTACAAATATCCCAGAACACTGGCAGTCCGCCTGGACTTTCAAGGTCATGCTTTCAGTGAGCACCTGTGGAAAAGATAAACTTTCCTAACAAAGCTCTCCGAGAGCAGAGAGAGATTCGTTCTAAAATGCTAAAAAGCAGCTTATGCCCACATTCTCCACCAAGAATGTCAACAGTTTATGGGCTGGTTCGGCCCGGTTCCATGACCAGCAGGATGGAGGGATTTTGCAAAATCCGCACCTCCGGAAAAAGGGAAACAGGGGACCCCAAAATAATTAAAAACAGTGGCAAAGATCTGAGGAGAAACAAACTAATTTACTAAATAGAGTATTGGAATGCAAGATAACGCACTATAATAGAGTATAATTAGAATCGAAGCTAATAAATCAAATAAAATGAGACAGAGAATGTCTGAAAGGTGGGAAGGCCTCACCATAAAGCTGAGGTGAGATGCACAGTCTGGTTGAGCAGCAGGGAGACGGGAGGAGAGCCAATGAAGAAGAGTAGACAAAAAAGCGCGCACCAGGCAACCTTGCCAGGAGTTAAACCTCCTCTCCCTGACCGCAAGGTCCCCTGGGGAATGTAGTTCTTCTTCTCTTCAGGGCAGGTACCCAGGACTTGAGCATTAACAGTTAAAGTCCCAGTGCCCCACATGATGTTATGATGTGGAATACTGATAACCAAAAATCATAAAACCATGACAGCTTTTTTCTCTGAAGACGACAACATTTGGTTCATTTTAACAGAGGATGTCACTTACTTGCTTTGATACACAGTCTGATAACAGCATGAAGGGGATGAACTCCAATGGATTCAACTTTTGCCCCAATGGAAATCAGCCATTTGACTAATTCTGCTACATTTTGCATCATCTCATCACATCCATACAACTCAAAAGTCTGATAATGAAGAAAAGAATTATGACATGTTATTTTATATTCACAAACGACTTTCCTTTAAAAACACAATTCCACAATATCATTTTTTTATGAATTGGTCTGGAATTGGTGGAACAACCAAGAGTAACAACCAAGTCATATTCGTTGTAAAATGAAACATTTACAACAAACGTAGCAGATCCAGTAGGAGTTCAAAGCAAATACATTTCTTCAATGAGCTGTTCATGAATTTTGAAAGACTCTTCTCCTGCTCTGAAAAGCACTGAATTTGAAGCCTATTTTGTAATACATATTTCTGTATTTCTTCCCTGTAATTGATGGCAACTTTCTGCTATACAAGTCTATCAAATGTTACTGCATTCCAATGCACATGTTGCTGTAAGTAGGTATTGTACTGTTTAAGCTCAGATGAGGCAGCTTCTGCAAGCAGTTATCCTAAAGCAAGAAAAGACTGAAGAAATGTTTTAAATTGGAAAACAGGAATTACAGACTGAGGGAAGGAGGTATAGACAACTCAGGTAACATCTCATACAGCTCAGGAATCCCAGCAATAGAAAGAAGGGCAATGCCTCATTCCCTCATCCAGCCCAGGAAGCATCTGGCATTATTAAGACAGTAATGATAATGAAACTGTTCACACAAAGAAAAGCTGTATGAATTTTATGAATTGTATGAATTTTACAGGGAAATTTACACACCAGGACTGAAAGCACACAGTCTGAGAAGGAAAAATTTGAACCAAAAAAGGATGTTTTATCAGGGACTTAATGAGCTTCAAGCACAGCCTACAAGCAACAGGGACATTGACACAGGAATCTGGAGGTGAGCAGAAGAAGCTCAGAGGGAAATTGAGACAATATGCCAGGAGGGTCTGGTCATGAGAGGGTGCTCAAAACCAGTGTTTTGACATAATTGCTTCTCTTGTGCCAGTCATTTTTTAAATAGCAGGCTTTGCACAGCCTTCCAACATCCACAAATAAATCTTTCTACCACCTCATGCCAAATTTTGACTGGCAAGTATTACTGTTTGTGCACAGTCACAAAAATAAAATACAGCAAACTACAGGGTGGCAGCAGGGGAAGTTCCAACTGTCAAAAACCACATTTTCCTCTCATTTTTGCAAAAGATAAGCAGTGCTCATTCACTGATCTTTCAGGGCCTGGACTCTGACCCACCTCTCTCCCTGCAAAGAGCTGATCAAATGCATGAAGTATGAAAGAGGGTAGCATGAAGTCCCACTTAAGCTCCTCGAGTGGCATTACCATGGCACATTTGTCCAATGCTAGCTAACCATGGCATGCTTGTGTAAACATACCTGCTTTGTAATGGTCCACAAGAAATGCTTTACCTCAACTGTTATTGAAACAGAATAGACAACCACTGCATAGTAGCAGATACATGCACTGTGTACTGCTTTCAGAAACTATGCAAAACATAATACCACCCTAACCCAGGAATACTAAAAGTCATCCTGTTTGGAAAACACATTCAGCTTAACAGATGTCAAACATTTTTCTACATTAAATTTAGTGTCAGGTTCCAGGTCTGACATGAATAGCTTGCTGCACTTGAGAGGAAGATATCTTTTGGCGACCAATAAAAAGGAAATACTAAATTGCATACAAAAACTATACAAATTAAGGATACTTTTAATGATCAATGAAAAGAGACAAAACAGATTATTTAACATTATCATATATTATTTAACATAACCACGTATTATTTTTCATTTTATTTTTCTCTCTCATCTGCTTTCACTTTGCCCACAGGATGGATAATCTTCCACTGAAGAGAACAGAAAGAAATAGACACAAAACTTAAAACGCTTGTCACTTTACCTCAAAGAGATTTTTCAGTGGTAACTGGTTGACTCTGAGATTGGTGGGCAAGTCTTTCTTCTTGGACAACAGCAACAGAAAAGACTAGGAAACAAAACAGTGGTGATAAGTGTGCTTAGAAACTTTGTTTTTCACTGCATTGCTAGACTTTGTAGAGAGCGAAACATGGGCTAACAACATTTCAGATCTTTTTTTTTAAGATTGTAACACATCACTGAATTTTCCTTTTCATTTATCAATTGAGCTAACGTATTTACAGTGGACTGTGGGAACCTATGACCAATTAAAACCTCATCAGAAATAGAAACCACATGGAAAGGATCATGTCCTAAAACTATCTCCAGTACACCTTTGGTAGTGATTCTTTTTCAAGGATAAGAAAGAAGATCTACGTAATTACAGGCCTGTCAGCTCTATTTCAGTGCCTGATAAAATTACAGAGAAGATCATTCTGGGAGTTACTGAAAAACACGTGAAAGACAATGCACTCACTGCTCACAGCCAGCACAGGTTCATGAAGGGAAAGTCCTTTCTAATGAATAATTCTTCCTTCACAGCAAGATTACACACCTAGCTCAACAAGGGAAGCCAGTAGATGTGATGGTTTTGGATTTCAGCAAAGCTTTCAGTACTGTTTTTCACGATGCAACGGGTGAGCTCAGGTTGGGCTCCAAGGGTTACAGTAAGCAGGACTACATCAGGCTGGCAGCCAGCCATCACTGGGGTTCCTCACGTAAAGCTTCATTTCAGGGCCAGTTCTCTTCAGTGCTTTTATCAATGACTTGGATACATGACTTGAAGATATACTAAAGTTTGAGGATGACACTACATTGGGAGGAGCTGTGGACTTCCTCAAGGGCAGAGAGATCTTAACAAATGTAAGGGCTGAGCAGTCAGCATGGAGCTGTGCCAGGGGAGGGGTAGCTGGGCATTAGGGAAAGGTTCTTCGCCAGAGGGCAGTGGGCACGTATTGATCATGTATTGATCCACCTAAGTGTGTCTTCAAATCCTGAATTGCACTCTTGTGAGTTGACCTTGTAAGGCTGCCAGATGCTCCTCTTCTTTGATCCTGGTGCTCACAAGGCTTTCTCACACTTTTTCCTCACTTTGCCATGCAGCATTTTGCCTTTTCGTAGACAAGTTTCCCTGAGGCTCCTGCCAGTGGCCACTGGACCCAGCCATGCCCTGCAGTGTGGCTGTTGGAGCAGGCTGGAAATTGGCTTGCCGAGCATGGGGCAGACTTGGCCTCACCACACACTGTAGCCCCGCAGCCCCCTGCCAGCACCGTGCCACCAACACACTGTAATTATGGCAATGAACCATTTTTCACACAGTTATTGTTTAAAAAGAGGGTTAGTATGACTTCAGGTGATTCTCCTTCTGATTGTCCAAAATAATCCGGCTTTATTGAACAACTGTGTGCTTCCACTGAGTGGATCTTTCATCCAAAAGAAAAAGACATTATAAATAAATACATTTTTTTATCCCTTCAGCGTCTTTCAAGAATAACGGAGCCCCTAGGTAGGATCAAAACAGAGACAATAGCAGGAGACAAGTGGGATCTTAACTTTGTTGTATACCTTTGAGAAATGAATTTTGGAAATTACTTTGAACTAAGAATATTTTTCAAGTCTAAAAATCATGACAATTGAATCAAGGAGCACTAAAATTAATTGCTTTTTTATCTTAGAGGTAACACAAGCTTACCCTGAACAGGTACCAATGACTACGTTTTTGTGCAGCAGTACTACACTATACTTGATCTTAGCCAAAAGACTAAGCAGCGAGTACGTAACATTCATTTTCTCTTCACTGGGACAGACTTACCTGCCACTTCCCTTTCTGAGCCAACTTTTCCATCACAGATTGCCAAATCAGTGCATCAAACCTTGCACTGAAAATATAATCACATGCAGGGTAGAAAGTTTGTGGCAAGACTCGTTCATCTGCAAGAGTAAGCAGTTATGAGAAGTATGTAGTATATGCAGTGCTTTTAAAGTTGTGGTCTCCAACTAAATCACTTCACTGCAGAGCGACAGCTTTAGTATTAATACCCAGGAGAATGCTAATGGGGAGCAAACATCTGACTTTTTTAGTGTGACAACCGTTGGCCACCAAACTGCACCTTTTTATCACCAGTCTTCTTTAAACACGGAAAAAAAAAATGAGTCCATCACCACTGAGGGGTTCTTAAAATACTTAAGCTTTTAATTTGAGCTTACCATTGACACTCGTGAAGATTCCTGCTATAAAATCAGCAACTTGAGCTTGGTCTACAGAAGCATTCAGAAGAGTCAAACCTCTATGAAACATAGAAATCGCATTACAAGCGTTTGATAACATGATCAGCGAGTGGCCAGCTCTATAATAAGCCTAGGAAAAAAAGAAAAACAAAAAAAGACCACTGTTAGGAAAACATTCAGAGATCCTGACAACAGAATCTCGGGGGTTAGAAAAGATCTCTAGGGATCATCCAACCTCCTGCTAAGGAAGGCTCCCTGCAGCAGGCTGCACAGGTAGGCATCCAGGTGGGTTTTGAATACATCCAGAGAGGGAGACTTCACAACCCCCCTGGACAACCTGTTCCAGAAAAGTTAACAAAAAGTTATCATTTTCTCTTAAATTCATTAAGTATGGTATAAAATGCCACGTAGTGCTATTTTCACAGCTTCTCACACACATACACCCTCCAAAAAAGCAATCGAAATCCCTTGTAATTCACACTGTGCTACATATGTCATTGTGCATGCTATGAAAGACCAATAAATAGATACAGATACATATGGAAAAGATAGCTAAAACAGTAGAAAATATCTTGGAAAATAACTGAAGGATGAGAAGACATACTTTTAGCAACTATCCTGGACAGAAATGTTTCTTGTCACAAGGTCCAGAATATATATTCATGTCATTGCACAATCAGTAGGTATACAGTTGTATAATCAACAGGTATACAGAGGTTAGGCTTGGTAAGATTATCATGATAGAAAGATAATCAAAATAAATAGAAATGCCCGCAAGTTCACAATAAACTCCACAAGGAATGAACTCCAGCAAGAGATCCTTCCTCAGTGATGATCAACACTTAAATGGGATCTAGAAGAGGTGCAGCCAGGCTCCCCCCTTCCGGTAGCACAGGTGAATTGCCTTCACCTGTGTTCCCACAGCCGACTCACTGCTTGTCTCAGGTGGTCAGTCAGAGGTTCAGGCCGTGATCAGCAGCTCCCATACAGTCATTATGACGCTGCTCAGTAGCACTGTGCAGTATTTAAAGCAATGCAGATGTTCTTCAGCAAATGGCACCTAAACACATTTATGTTCACCACTGAAGCAGGTTTTACTATCTCAGACTCATGGTGGAGTCAACTTGTTTAAAACATTTCCTGGTCAATCCTGCATCACCCTGGGTCCCCAGCATCAAAAGAGTGCATAAGATTTTATTACTTGCTATCACCTCATCTGTGACATTAAAAAGCCAGTTATCTTCTCGAAAGCATTAGTACCTTTCCTGCTGGGATGAGAAACAAAAGCAAGCAAAAGAGAGCTGCTTAATTTTATTAGTAGTATTACAATAATATTAGAAGTCATTTTGATGTTTGTGTGCACAGCCAGATATTGATTCTGTCATTTTTATGCTATGGTACATCTTAAAACACAACAAAAAGCAGATATTGGCACTTGGTTTAAAACATAATACAGGCAAAAAGTTGCCAGCTTCAACATGTGAATACCTTAACATACTCTGGATCCCAGCGTAAGCTCTCAAAGGCTGAATGCATTGCTTCTCTCCATTTACCAAGATTGTACAAGCAAGTTGATCTGTTGCAGTATAATACAGCTATGTCCCCAGAACACCTGAAAAAAAGTTACCAGCATTACTGCTTATTCAATTAAAAAAAAAAGAAAAAAGGATGCAAGGTACTTTGTAGTTAGTAACAAGAAAAAGTGCACACATCACCCACCTAACAAACTCAGAGGGTAAAACAGAGCTGTAGAAAGCAAATGCAATTTGAACATCAGCTACAAAATCTCTCAGTGGCACCCTAATGGTATCTGAATGACATTCTAGTCCCTTCTGAAGCAGAAGGCTAACCCACTGGACTAGTGCAGTAAGTGCTGAACTCCACGATCCTTGACCCCTTCCAATGCAGTATGTACTATGATACTATGAGGGTTTAGTGACAGTTTAGTAAACCTAGAGACATCTGGGTATTTAGTGAAAGGCAGTAGCCAGGAATGGAAGAGAACGGACAGGAATGGGAGGAAAGGTAAAACAAATGCTAGACAGACTTTAGTCATCCAAGCATAACCAAAAAGTGTTTTACTGTACCATCAGCTGATGATGTCATCAAAATTATATATATTTATGTCAGAAAGAATGAAGAAATAAACATATCTCAGAGAACTGAACATTCTGAAATATGTGCATCTGGATGTAAGAATTTCTGGAAAAAGCTTCCCAAAATTTACAGTACTACACACGGTAGCAGGGAGCCTGAAAAGTCTGTCTCGTCTGTGCTCAAATAGCTTGTAGCATGGTGCTGCATCCTCTGTCTTATTCCTACCTAGCAACTTACACTCAAGAAAGTTGTTTCAACTTTATTGAACATGTTCAGAGCACGCTCTCACATGTATGCAAATCTTGCCAAGGCAATCTACAGCAAGGGGAAAGGGAATGCTCTGGAGCAGATCCCAGTGGGAAGAGAAAGCCCTGCAAAAGGCAGAATCAGGGCCTGGTGGAGATGGCCTTGTTGGCTCTGTCTCAGTCCCAGCACAGCTCCAGACTACATTTTACCATCCTTTGTCTAATGGCAAACAGTCAAACTAAATCAATGGCTGGTGTTACATCAGGTTCATAGCGTTGCTAATACATGGTAATAATGAATATTTAAAAGTTAACATAATGCTCAGCTACTTAACCATTAACCATCACATTAGCAACCGGTGTTAACTGAAGACAACAAACACTTGGCATTTGGAAAGAAATAGCCACAGAACTCTTTGGCTGAAGCTAGTTTTGAACAGATTTTACAACACCAGGAAAGCTCAAATACCAAGAACAATGTAACCTGCATGAATTGTTTTCAAAATAGTCAATGATCCATGTAACAACAGACAACCACATTCTCCCAGTAACTGGCACAGCAACATCAATCTATAACATCTCAACTGCAAAGCAGAACTAATTTAACACGAGCCAACATAATGTTTGGAAAAATAGTTTGGACCTTAATTATAGTTATTAATAATGTTCATAAAAAAAACATTTAGATTAAAGTTGCTAACTTATACATCAAGAACAGCAATTCCTCCTTAATTATAAAACCGATACACCAAAGAGTGTGACAACAGACATAAGAAAATCATGTGTCAGGGGAAGAAATACAGCTCTGAGTTAACCACAGAACTGAACACATTTAATTACAAGCTCACAGCTTGTAATTAAAGAATACTTACAGGCCCCATTGCCTTAACTGAACGAGCATATACAGAGCTTGATCATACTTCCTGATGGCCAAGGTGTAATTTCCATTTTTAAAATCCTGATTCCCATCTTGTTTCATAAACTGTGCATATTCCATGGCATCCATGCTAAGTGCGAGAGGAAAAAAAAACAAAATAAAACCAATAACCAGAGATCCACGAGACACATCATTCCCCAAAATCCACTTCAACTTTCATTTTAGGTTTTGCACCTCCTTGAAAAATAGGACAAAAGAATACATCTTTTTGCTATGTTGCAGTTGGAATAGTAAAATGTAACTCAGGTACCAACCTCATCTATGCTTTTGATATATCAACTTTCCAGCTATTTTTTAATCACATTTTTCTCATTGTTTCCTTTGGGTCTCAAACTTTCTTTTTTAAAAATATAATTATTAAAGCTATTTAAATGCATTCACCCTCTTTAAAAGCAGGATATGAATCTGAGACAACACAGCTCATATAGTTAAGAAATACATGAAGCTGCACTTCTCAATTAGTTAAAGACAAAACTAATTAACTTGCTTTTTATTTACCTTTATGACTTTTCCTTTATCCAGCCTTTCCAGCAAGACATTTAATAATCCAATGTACACAAAATCGCTTTGAAACTTGATTACTGCACGAAACTGCTGTGATGTCAGTCTATTATCACTGCCTGAAGACCTTCGAAGAAATTGAAAATCGTTGCTAAAATAAATACATCCAGCACTCGGAGAAATCAAAGGTTGAAACAGGCATCAAGTGCAAGTGGTAGAAAAAGCATTTCATAATTAAAGCTGTAAAATTAATCTCCTTACATAAAAGTAATCGCCGTTTCAAGAAGCAGGTAAACAAATACAAGGGGAAAAACAGCCACACGCATGGACAGCACGTCAAGCTCACAGACTAAACAATCAGAAAGTCTTGAGCAGAATCATTCTTCACAACTGGATTATACTTTTAAAAGCCATCGCCGTTACCCGTGAAAGTCTCTTTTAGTCTCACAGATCTCAGTACTAGCAAACAAGATTAATAACCCCAGAAGGAAAGCACAGGTTTACTAATTATCCTGGTGTTAACCAGCATGGAACAGAACCAGAGACAACCTGTAACATCACAGCCTACTGATAGAAGCTGTAAAGGCTTTTCACAGCAGACCAAACGAGGTATTTTTAAGTATATGAGCCCACAGACAAAGCACCAAGTAATGCTGACATCTTCTCCATAGGTTCTCAAGGCAAACCCAAAAGGCTGCTGTACTGTCCAGAGGATTAAGAGGCGTGCTATGGGTGGCACTGTGCCTTGTCTGCATGGAGATGCTCCATCAGGTGAAATGCAGTGAGCTCACAGGAGAAGCAGTGCACAACTCTGCAAAGGCAACAACAAGAGAACCAGGTGCTACAGCGAAGCTCAGAGCAAGACTGCTTCTGTCTGGCTGCAGAAAGGCCACTCAGAAATTAGGCCTTATTTATTTCAAGGAATAATGCTCCATGATGATGTATGCAATGCAAACGCTGCAGGAAGAACTAATTAAGCTCCTGGATATAGACTAAACTGACTATAAACTGACTAATAAAAGGTTCCATCTATGCAAGGTCAGGGGAGGTATGATGACAAGGCAGTACTGGAGGAGTAATTATGACAATTATGCCATGCAAATTAAATCATCACTTCATTGAACCACGTGCATATAATATAGAGTTTCAAAACGCTCCTTACGAGACAGCAAGTCAAGTGTTCTCATAGCTTACATGGGTCTTCTGGACACTGCATAGTATGAACATTATTTAAGGGGAAAAATAAAAAAGGAGGAAATAAAAAACAAATGCTAAAATACAGTTCCACCTTTTTTTTTTTTTTTTTTTACACTCTCAGAAGATTAAATAAGAACCTCCCCACTCAGAGCAGATTTCCAGCTGAACACATATTCCCATGCTTTTCCAGCTTGCCAGCCAAAACCCCGAACCACAGGCCATTTAAATCACTGGGATGCCTGCTGAAGGCTTTAGCAACAGTACCCAAGAGATGCACAGACATGCAAATCTGACATGTAAGTAAATTACCTAGAAGAACTGCTGTGCTGACTAACACAGTACGTCTTGCTATTGCCTAACATTTTCTTGAAGCATACACAGTTTTAACTCAAAAAACAGAAGACTGACATCTAGTGCTTAGTGTTGAGCGTGACTAGCATTGAACAAAAATGCCACCCATTCCTATGCCTCCCATTGGCACAAGGAAAGAGAAATGCCTGGACCACAAATGCATCTGAACATAACCAATAAAAGACTTTGCTTTGGTAAGAAAGGTTCCTTTCCAAAAGTAGGGGTTCCATGACACCAAAGATGTCTATCTCTCTACAGTCTCTCCCAGGCCTCTCCACGCTCCCTGCCATTCAGTATCCTCTGGTTTTGGGGAGGGCTTCCTCAAAATACGATAAATACAAATACTGACTGAAATGATGAACAGTACATTTAGGGAGATTGACAGCGTGATCAGAGGAGCATTCAAAAACTGCATAAAGGATTCAAAGGACAGACCGGGAGCCTGCTTACAAATCACAAGTTCTGTAGAATTAGCAACTCCTTCTAGAGCTGTATGCCACACTGTATGCAGATACCAGGTACATATTTCCATCAGTGTTTTCAGTAGACTCTACATACCTATGGCTCCACAGAGCAGAGTGGCAAACTTAATTAAGGCCCAGCATGTTCTGAGCATTGAAAGAGAAAAAATTATGGAATGCAATCCCTTGAAGAGCAGTTTTAGAAGAGAAAGCATTTTTTTTCTCTTTACAGAAGCAAGCTAGCAGCACCCAAAAAGTTTACAAATATCCCAGAACACTGGCAGTCCGCCTGGACTTTCAAGG